ATCATTTCTTCTGCTGCTTATCTAACAATCACTTGTTGCCTAAAATAGAAATAACCAGTTGTCATGGCCTACCCTCCTCCCTGCTGCCAAATTCTTAGTAAGTACCTATAATGTGCTAAACACTGATAGACACCGGGGATACAATATTCTGCAAAACCCAGACTCTACCTTCAAGGAGCTTGCATAACAATACTTTCAGGCCAGGTGGGGTGGCTCATGCCTGTAATCCCAGCACTTTGGGAGGCCGAGGCAGGTGGATCACGAGGTCAGGAGTTCAAGACTAGCCTGGGCACCATGGTGAAACCCTGTTTCTACTAAAAATACAAAAATTAGCTGGGCATGGTGGCGCATGCCTGTAGTCCCAGCTACTCGGGAGGCTGAGGCAGGAGAATCACCTGAACCCGGGAGTTGGAGGTTGCAGTGAGCTGAAATCATGCCACTGTACTCCAGCCTGGGTGACAGAGCGAGACTTCATCTCAAAAAACAAACAAACAAACAACTTTTAATCCAATTTTGTACTTAAGAATAAAGAATTTTTAAAAGATGCACAGATTTACTTTATACTTAAATGTTCGGTTAATACAAGAGTTTTGTTTAATTTCTGTGTGTTTTAAAAAGTTTTCATCTTGGTGAAACCCCATCTTTCAAATAAAAATACAAATGATCAGGATGTGGTGGCTTACACCTGTAGACCCAGCCACTGGGGGCGGGGCTTGAGTCTGGGAAGTCAAGGCCACAGTAAGCGGAGATTGTGCCACTTCATGCCAGCCTGGGTGACAGAATGCCACCTGGTCTCAAAAAAATAAAAAAAGAGTTTTCCTCTTTTTAAATCAACTGATTAAATTGGATTGTTACCATAGTGGGTAGTATCCACCATGAGATGTAATCAGAATCTATATAGTCAAGTGAACTACTTTCCATAATTTTGCAACAAATCCAAACTTTTCTATTTGGTTAACAGTTTTATCACCTTATCTGAAACTAATGTAAATCCCATAGTTGTGGGTTGATTCAGCAGTGTTCACTGAGCACCTACTCTGTACCACGTGCAATAGGAATGAAGCGATGAACAGCATACCTCTCAATCCGAGCCCCCGGGAAGCTCCTGACTGGTACATTCTGTTGGGTCCATGGCAGAGGATACAGAGACACTTCACTATCCCAGCAGCCAGGGCCCTTCAATGCCCAAAGTGGGCAGCATAAAGTCAGTGGCCTTACAAAGCAGAATGTGAGGCCAATGTGAAATTCTTTTTAGAAAAGGAATGAATGGCATGACTATTCATGGCTCACAAAAGAGGAGTGTCATAAAGAATTCATGGTAAGAGATAAAAGAGGTAAGCCTTAAATAGAGGAACTGGCTGAGCAGCTTAGAGAAGAAGGGGATTGGAGGAAGGAAAATTAGGTACTTTTTTTCCCCTCTGTCACATAGGGCAGTATCTGGAAACTGCAGATAGTTTTAAAGAAATATTAATAATAATAATAATAAGCAGGAAGTGTGGGAGGACCAAATAAAGAGATGAAAAGTTTCCAGAGAAATGAGGTCAAGGAGGAAAGTTGGGATAAGACATTAGCTGGGGGTGGAAGGAGGGGAAATGGAGATTAGAAATTATTAATCAATCGACATAGCTAGTCAGCAAATATTTGCTAGGTGCAGAAGATCATGCTAAATCATGTATGAATTAAAATCATTTGTCATGAAAGCTCCATTATGCTTTGTGATCCTGGATTCCTTTTTTTTTTTTTTTTTTTTAGGCAGAGTCTCGATCTGTCACCCAGAGTGGAGTGCAGTGGCACAATCTTGGCTTACTGCAACCTCCACCTCCTGGGTTCAAGTGATTCTCCTACCTCGGCCTCCTGAGTAGCTGGGACTACAAGCACCCACCACCATACCTGGCTAATTTTTGTATGTTTAGTAGAGACAGAGTTTCACCATTGGCCAGGCTGGTCTTGAATTCCTGACCTCAAGTGATCTGCCTGTCTCGGCCTCCCAAAGTGCTAGGATTATAGGCCTAAGCCACCATGCCCGCCCGGATTCCTTTGACTTCTTAGATTCACCACTCTAATCTAAACCATTTAGGTTTTATCGACATCCAGCCAAGATCCACTGGTGATGAATGGTACCCTTCAGAATAAGAAAGGATGAAGCCTAAAATCTGGAAATAAGAAAATCTTTCTCTTGGCTTATCCCCAACTCAAAGACACTTTGTTGTAAGTTTAGAAAGCTAAACATTTTCATAATTATGAGTTTCTGAAAGGATGGCACCTCCTTATTTTACAAGGTTCTAAGAGTCAACAAATGTTACTTGCTAATTGTAAATCAATGAGTCAAAGGGCAAAGGCTGAAAACTATCACAACAGAGAAACACAAAGTGATAGATACATCAAAGAAAATGAATTTTTAAACATAATTTATAAATTTTAGTTCTGGGGAGAAAATCGTTTATAGTCGGTAATATTCATTGTTCAAGGACTTCTGATTTATTTTCATGCTCAGCACAATGTGTTAATGCTAGACCATGCAATTGTTCTAGGACAGTTTATTCTTTATTTACTTAGGACTGAAATAGGGCAAGAGAATCCAGCTTTCTGGACCTAAAATTTTCAAAGCAAAGACATATGCATACTCTTCAGAAGGAATAATTTACAGCCTCTTCCCACGTGTGTAGGCTAATATGGGAGTGAGAACACAGATTATTTTTATTCCTGTGTCTCCTGACTGCAGGCCTAGAAGACTATCAATACACAAGTGTCGCTTCATAATTGCTCTCTGCTGGTCTAGCATTCTTACACTTTCCTAAGCTGACTTTCTTAACTTCACCAGGATGGGTCACAATATATTTTAGACAGTTCTTTATGACCCTTTCACTACCATTTCCCAAGGCAGCAATGGATAAAACAATATTATAATATGATCATCATTTTATTTCCCACAACTTCCTCAGACTCAACATCTGCCAACCAAATGCAAGCATTCCATCTTAGACAGCTCCGAGTTTCCTGAATATCATTTATGCAGCTTGGATTTCATTATCCATGGCATGAAAGGTAGTCTAAGATCAATTCTGTAATTAACCAACTGTAATAATTCTCTGAATAATAATTCTCAGAAGAATGACACATGTCACAGATACTCAGATGAGAGTGTTGGGATGCTTTTAGATCTTAGTTCCTGCGTTAGTCTGAAGTTAATCCAAGATGGAGGTTTAAGAGAAATCTCTGCTGGGTTTATGGCACTCAGCTTGTGGAATTTCACATTTACATGTACACACATGTCAGGTAACTAAGAGAAAAACCCTTCTTTCTCCTGAGTTGGGCAATGGGGTATCCTGATCTACCTACAGTGTAACTATAAAAGTAAAATCAAACAGCATATGTGCTGAGTTAACACTGTTTTTACAGGGCTCTCATTGCGCGCTCTCTGAGTTGTAAAAGACATAGGCTGAATACAGCTATGATTACGATGACACTCACATGGATTAACAACCACAAATGTGATGACAGTATTATAGGAAAACAAATCTGCATTAGACAGAGCAACATTTATAGGGCTTGAAGGTAACTGCTCTCACAAAATTGAAAACGCTGCAGAGTCTCAGGGAAAATGTGAAAGTATCCTGGAAACCACAGCTCTAGTTCGAGTTCCACTACTGAGCCCGTGCCTTAGTTTCTCTGTCTAGAAGACGAAAGAGAAGAATAGTGGCCTTGGTATTTGCCTCCCGGAAATACATGAAATTTGGTGAAATAATCCATGAAAAATATACTCAGTTATGGCAAGTTTGAATATTCTCCTTAATAATTTTAAGTGAATTTTAAAAAGGTTTTAAGCGCACATTTTCAAAAGAAGCCGCTCAGTATAAGTTGCTCAATATATAGCACAATTGCAAATTACTGTATATCCATGGCTCCATCGGAAGTAAGAGACAGAAACACTAAGGAAAACAGCATATGCTCCAGGAAATCGGGAGCTTTGTTTCTAGGCGTCCACAAATTCCACAATATTTGGCACATTGTATTGACAGAAATTTTGTTATATTTTTATCAGTTCCCACCTTGGGAAACAAACTAAGAGTTAGATTATTAAAATGTAAACCCGCATTAAAAATAACCATTTGATTATCAAAAGCAAAAATAAATGGCTCAAATAAGAAAATGTTCAGTCTAACTTTCTTTTGTTTGAGTGATGCTCACGGGTGGCTTTCCTCTTTTTCCTGGTGTAAACATTTACTAGAAAGCAAAGAGCTATACAGGTTGAGCCACAGGATGCTGCCTCCTGGCTATTTCACATGATTCAACCTAATATAAAGATTGAGATGTACAGGTGATCAAACTTCTAAGTACATTAGATTGAAGATTAGACAGCTTAGAACCCCAGAGTTCCTTAAAGTCTAGGTCATAGGCTGGGCATGGTGTCTTACGCCTGTAATCCCAGCACTTTGGAAGGCCAAGGCAGGAGCATTGCTTGAGTCCAGGAGTTTGAGACAAGGCTAGGCAACATGGCAAGACCCCTGTCTCCACAAAAAATTAAAAATTTTTTTAAATTTTTAAATTTTTAAAATTTTAAGCCTGTAGTCTCAGCTACTTGGGAGGCTGAGGCAAGAGGATCGCTTGAGCCCGGAATATCAAGGCTGCAGTGAGCCATGATCGTATCACTGCATCCCAGCCTGGGTAATAGAGCGAGACTCTGTCTCAAAAAAATAAAAAAGTTTAGATTGTAAATTGAGCTGAGGATTGCTGGAATGCAGAATAGATTGTCTACTCTCTTGTATAATATATCCTATACTAGGTAAATACATGTAAAAAAGTAGACTGAGTTAACTACTGGGAGAATTAAGAACCGCAGATCCACACAGGAGGTTTCTCACATGACCTACCATCTGTGCTCTACCATCTGAGCTGCAGCATGTCTCACTGAGGTTACCTGAGTATCCAAGGACTCGATCAAGCAAAATATATTCCTTACAACAAAATTTCAATAAACCTTCTGAATCCAACAATCTTACCTGCTGGTTTGGTCTGACATCACTGAAATTTATTTTTTTCCCCAAGTCTCGAATCACCGCCTTCTTAGTTTCACGAATGTAGTCATCATTCACTGGTTGAGGAGACTTTGTATTTTTCTTCACTAATCCCTGGGATGGCCTGTAAGATAAGTCCACACCCGACACACCCATGAAAAGCACTGGCCAGGGTAAATAGGCCTAGAAATCAGAGTGGTTGAAATGACAAGCAGATCCTGGCAGTCATGAGGCCCTTAGGGAATTAAGCCCTGTGTAGAGAATCCGTATTTGTAAAGGCTTTTTGGATATTTTAATTTAAAAAAAATTGTTTTTGAGACACAGTCTCACTCTGTCACCCGGGCTGGAGTGCAGTGGTATAATCTCGGCTCGCTGCAACCTCCGCCTCCCAGGTTCAATGATTCTCCTGCATCAGCCTTCTGAGTGGCTGAGGTTATAGGCATGGACCACCATGGCTAGCTAATTTTTTGTATTTCTCCTAGAGACATGGGTTTCATCATACTGCCCAGGCTGCTGTCAAACTCCAGACCGCAAGTGATCCGCCCTCCTCGGCCTCCCAAAGTGCTAGGATTACAGGCATGAGCTACCACACCTAACCTGATATTTTAATTATTAAAATTATTCAGAGTAATCATACCCTTTGTTCTGAAGTGTTTCACATCCATTTTGTATCTAAGAGAATAAGATTATCTAGGAATCCACAAAATCAGAGCCCTGTCCCAGATCAGCTATTCAATGCACACGTCACCTCTTAACTAGCATCTGACATCCAGAAACCTCAATGACACTTACATGGATGGTGCACTCCTAGGCAGCCCCATGGCATTTGTGGGTGGGATGGCAGGGAGAGAAGGCAGAACAGAGCTGAGGAAAGCCACTGGGTTCTGAATCCGGCTGGTAGGCGAGACAGGAGTTGGGGACACACAGCGGGGCTGAAACTGGCTTCCGCTGGGGATGGAAAATGTAAGTGGTGGTGGTGTTGGCTCCGTTGGGCCTGATGGGGGTGGCTCATTTTGGATGGAAACCCCTCCTGGAGATTTGGTTTGCACGGAGGGGTGAGACACTAAGAGGCTTTCTTTGCTCACTGTCCTCTGAATAGTTAGAGGAGTGCTGCTCAAAGTGAACACCGGAGAGCTGGAAGGGGCCACGGTTGCTGCGGTGGTGTTCGTGGAGGGGAAGAAATGCTTCGGTCGGGACAAGCTGAACGTCTGTGATGAAGGGGCCTTCGCCTGCTTGCTGGATGTGGTCACCGCCGGGGGAGCAGTGGAGTTCAAAACACTCAGGTTGAAAGGAAACTCCTTAGGAGAAGAAGGAGATGGGTTTTGCAGCTGCTGTTGTTCCAGTAAGACTTGGTTATGAAGCTGTTGTAACTGAGTGGAATCGCTGCATACAAAACAAGGGTGGAGAGAGAGAAGGAAATGTGTTATTATTGGCCTCACCTTTCAAACAATGTACAGACAGGCTGTTTATAACTTGAAGATAGGCCAGGCATGGTGGTTCATCCCTGTAATCCCAGCACTTTGGGAGGTGGAGACAGGCAGATCACTTGAGTCTAGGAGTTTGAGACCTGCCTGGGCAATATAGCAAAACTCTGTCTCTACAAAAGAATAAAATAAATTTAAAAAAAAGTAGCCAGGAATGGTGGTGCATGCCTGTAGTCCTAGCTACTCAGGCAGGAGGATTGCTTGAGCACTCCCAGGATGATCCCAGGAAGATCACTTGAGATCCCACGCGTGAGCCTGGAGGCGGAGATTGCAGTGAGTCCTGATCATGCCACTGCACTCCAGCCTGGGTGACAGAGTGAGACCTGTCTCAATAAACAAACAAATAAATAAAATAACTTGATGCTGATAAAGAACACACAACCAGAGTGGCAAGAAATCAGCTGATCAATGACTGGTGAGTGTGTCTTTCCTTCTTTCTAAGGGCGTCATTCACGTTGCATTATTTGTATTGTGACCTTGGAGCTGTGCATCTAAGAGTTTATAAATTGGAAAAGAGAAATAGAGACAACGCTTCTCTTGCTGACAGTGCTCAAAGTTCTGATGACCAGCAGAAAGTTTCCCAGCTTCAGAACAGAAGGCACGGAGCTACACACCGGTGTGTTACTGAAGGGGGCCAAATCTCCATAAGAACATGCTGTATTTTCCACTCTGCCTTGTTTTAGAGCAGACCTTAAAGAAGCTGGCTGTATCTTAGAGGGATTTCTCATCCTCTCCCGACAACAAACCTTTATAGATAAGGTGACCATATGTCCTAAACATCCAGGAAGGTCCTCGCTTAACATCTTTTCCTGGCATTATTATTCTTATTATATTATTGTTTGAGACAGAGTCTTACTCTGTTGCCCAGGCTGGAGTGCAGTGGTGCGATCTCAGCTCACTGCCATCCCAATCTCCTGGGTTCAAGTGACTCTTGTGCCTCAGCCTCCCAAATCGCTGGGACCACAGGTGCCCACCACCGTGCCTGGCTGATTTTTGTATTTTTAGTAGAGATAGGTTTTCACCATTTTGGCCAGGCTGTTCTTGAACTCCTGTCTTCAAATGATGCACCTGCCTTGGCCTCTCAAAGTGGTGGGATTACAGGCATGAGCCACCGTGCCCCACCCTGACATTATTGACAGCACTCACTTTCACTCTCAGAAATGTCCTAATTTGAATGATGGTTATATGCTCACCCTGATTATAAACCTTGCCTTCGATTTTTATTGTTCCTAAAAGGAGAAAGAAGATCAAACTGGAAGTAGTTTCTCCATTTATAGAACCTGAGTCACAGAGACATCACATGATTTGCCTTAATGGTCCATTGAATTCAATGGTCTATGGAATTTCTCTTCATGAAACACTTCATTATTTTTAACAAAGAAAGTGCAACCAAAATATCTTAAAATCATATATGTATAAAGTCATCAAGGCTGCCAAACTTTACTGCTTAGGAGACTCTACCCTTGAATGAGGAACCATGGGAAGACCCATATGTGGGACCACAGTACTTCAGGACCACTAATTTTATGTTCTTTATTTTATTTTTATTTATTTATTTTAGGCGGAGTTTTACTCTGTCACCTGGGTTGGAGTACAACAGCACAATCTCCGCTCACTGTAGCCTCAACCTCTGGAGTTCAAGTGATCCTTCTGCTTCAGCCTCCCAAGTAGCTGGGATCACAGGCATACACCTCCGCACCCAGTTAATTTTTGTATTTTTTGTAGAGTTGGGGCTGCCATCATGTTGCCTAGGCTGGTCTCATACTCCTGAGGTCAAGCGATTTGCTTGCCTCGGCCTCCCAAAGTGTTAGAATTATAGGCATATGCCTCGGTGCCTGATCGATTTTATGTTCTTTGGAAATATGTATTGCTTCTGGGATGCAGAGACTCTGCATTCTAAGGAATACAAAAGAAATTAATAGGGATTTGGAATTTTTATGATAAAATGCCAGACAAACACAACAAACTAGAGATACTGTATCAAGTACTTTTGAAAAAAGTTTTGGCAACGACAATTTCTGGCAGTGTGTGCTGGAGCCAGCCCTCACTGGCTTTGACGAACAGGTAGTGCATATCTCATCTCAACTACCCATTCGATCGACGACTTTCTCTTAGTAGCTTGAAATTGGCCATAGTGGGAGGAAACTGGCAAATGCTAAAAATCAGGGTTTTCTCACCCCTGTCAGTCATTAAACATTTGCCAGTGCATCACTGACTTGGAAAACTAGTTCTGAGTAAATCTGCTATGGTTTTAGCAGTAGTCACTGTGCACATTTGAATCACCTGGAGACTGTAAAAGACAAATGAACCTCACTGATTTAGGCACCTGCTCAGAGTTAATTGGCCTGGGATGGAATTCAGACAGAGTTATTATTATCTTTTCAAATGTAGGTCAGTCATTCTCAAACTTTACTGGGCTTCAGAATATCTGGAGGGCTTGTTAAAACACAGGTTTCTGGCCCCCATCCCCAGAGTTTCTGATTCAGCAAGTGTGGGGTGGGGCCTGGGAGTCTGCATTCCTGCCAAGCTTCTAGGTGATGCTGGTGCTTTGGGTCCGCCTACAAGGCCCCTGGTGATTCTCACAGGCCTCCAGGACTGAGAACCGGTGCCCTAAAGAAACACTTGGCACCAAAGCATAGGCTTTCCTAGTATATTCTGACTTTCGTCTGACATTTGTCTCACTTTTAAATGTTAATTATTGTGTTTTCCTGGGTGTAGCAGGTAGTGGGTAGGGAGTGGGGAAGAGTTGCAACTCAGGGATGTTTTGTTTTGTTTTTTTGAGACAGAGTCTTGCTCTGTCACTTAGGCTGCAGAGCAGTGGCATGATCTCAGCTCATTGCAACCTCCGCCTCCCAGGTTCAAGTGATTCTCCTGTCTCAGCCCCTCAAGTAGCTTGGATTACAGGCGCTCACCACCACGCCCAGCTAATTTTTGTATTTTTAGTAGAGACAGTGTTTCGTCATGTTAGCCAGGGTAGTCTAGAGCTCCTGACCTCAACGAATCCACCTGCCTTGGCCTCCTAAAGTGCTGGTATTACAGGTGTGAGCTACCACTCCTGGCCAGGGGCACTTCTCTAACTCTAGACCAGTGGTTTCCAAACTGGATGCACATTAAAATAATCTGTGGAGAGATTCTGATTCAATTGAGATGGAGGGCATAAATATTTTTTAACAGCTTCACATTTTATTCTACAGTGTATTCAGGATGAGGAATCACTGCTCTAGACAGCTTAATAGTCAATCTGAAATTTCAAAGTTGGGCTTTGATGATACAAGGTTGAAAAATGACAGCTTCCCTTTCTGTTGCAATTTTAAGATCTATGTCATCTCTATTTTCCATATGAATAGCAAATTGAAGGAACAAGCAGAAAATTGTATCCTTGAGAAGACTGAGTCAATACATTATTTTAATGCAAAATGTGTGAGGTTAAAACCAATGAAGTTAAAACTAGTAAGAAAAGGTTGTAGGCATGTAGATTCACAAACGGTGTGTGTATTTGTGTGTGGTGTGTTTATATATATATAGTTATACTAATGTAAACATATATACACACAACAGAAAACTTAAGGAAGGCAAAGAATATTAAAGAATTATATAGTGCTGAGAACTATGTTTTTAGAGGGTGTCACTACATGATTTAGGAGAAAGATGTTTTATATTAATTTGAAGTCTCATATGGCAGACACTGCTGTCTGTTTAAATCCCCCCCCTTGTGAAAGAATCCAATTTTGTTCATGGTGGCAATATGTGCAGCCTAAGACTATACTTCTAGCCTCCTTTACAACTAGTGTCCCATCTACCTAAATTCTGGCCAAAGAGGCAGAAGTAGAAGATTTTTGTTGAAACCTCTAACAAGTCTCCTTAGAAGGAATTCTAACACCAAGAGTGTGACTTCTGGCCGGGCGCGGTGGCTTACACCTGTAATCTCAACACTTTGGGAGGCTGAGGCAGGTGGATCACGAGGTCAGGAGATCGAGACCATCCTTGCCAACTTGGTGAAACGCCCGTCTCTACTAAAAATACAAAAATTAGCTGGGCGTGATGGCATGTGCCTGTGGTCCCAGCTACTGGGGAGGCTGAGGCAGGAGAATCACTTGAACCAGGGAGGTGGAGGTTGCAGTGAGCCAAGATCAGGCCACTGCACTCCAGCCTGGCAACAGAGAGATACTCCATCTCAATTAAAAAAAAAAAAAAAAAGAATGTGACTTCTGTCCATTGGTCCTTCCCACTGCCTGGACTGCAGGTGTGGTGACTCGACCACCCTCAGCCCTCTCGGACCACGAGGGTACCTGGAGAGGAAGCCAGTGTTTGGGATGGCAGAGCAGAAAACAGAAGGAGACTGGGTTCTTAATGACCTTGCAACCAACATCACAGCCCCAGACTCCCTGTCTACTTTCTCTATGTGAGAGGAAAATAACCCTTCAATTTTTTTTTTTTTTTTTTGAGAAGGAGTTTCGCTCTTGTTATCCAGGCTGGAGTGCAATGGCGCGATCTCGGCTCACCGCAACCTCCGCCTCCTGGATTCAGGCAATTCTCCTGCCTCAGCCTCCTGAGTAGCTGGGATTACAGGCACGCGCCACCATGCCCAGCTAATTTTTGTATTTTTAGTAGAGACGGGGTTTCACCGTGTTGACCAGGATGGTCTCGATCTCTTGACCTCGTGATCCACCCGCCTCGGCCTCCCTGAGTGCTAGGATTACAGGCGTGAGCCACCTCGCCCGGCCAACCTTCAAGTATTTAAACCCTGTTACTTTGGGTTGTCTGTAACATGAAGCTCAACTTAATCCTAACTAATATACCTGAGGACTGAGCTCTGACCTCGTTCCATGCTCAAATTCTATTCTAAGGGGCCTAGGGAAAGGCCCTCCTACAAGCCATAAAATCTAAGGAAACAGGTCTTTTTTTTTTAAAGAAAGAGTCTCACTCCATGGCTCAGACTGGAGTGCAGTGGTGCGATCTCAGCTCA